GGCCCAGCTGTGCAACTCAGGCGGGTCCTTGTCCTGCTGGGCCCCCTTCCCTTACGACCGGGCACCTCGTGGCTCTCCCGGCCAGCCGGACCTCGTGCCCCGTAAAGAGAAGGAGGCCTTCACTCCCCTCCAGAGTGTCCTGAAATGCTGTGAGCAGTCCTGGGCGCCCCCAAATAGCCACAGGGTCCCAGACAGGCAGACAGGCATCTTCTGGAAAAGGGAGCTGCCGTTGGGGGGCACTAGATGACCCCAAGTGGCAGCGCCCCCCCCCCCCCCCCCCCGTAAGCATCCCACTAACGCCACATGCTGGTCGCCTTCCAGGCATCAACGTTGGGCCTGTGGTGGCCGGGGTGATCGGCGCTCGCCGGCCGCAGTACGACATCTGGGGGAACACCGTCAACGTGGCCAGTCGTATGGACAGCACCGGGGTCCCGGGCAGAATCCAGGTCAGTTCAGGCCAAGTTCCCCAGGCTCAGGTGGAGACTCAGGTGCCGAGGTCAGGGGCCAGCGGGCAGCCAGGCCTCTGCTGACGAACAGCCACACAAGTTGGCAGACTCGGAGAATGAAGGGCAGTAACAGCCCGTTCGCCGTTCTGAGGGTCCAGCGTCTGCGCCTCCCTCTGCCGTCTACACTGACGGATTGTCCAGGGACCGCGGGGCTCCCAGCGCTTTCAGACCCGTTGGCATATTGCCCGGCCTTGAGAGCGCAGGGTCCTGACGTTCTGGGGTTATTTTTGTTTTCCAAGCTGCCCTGGACGGCAGGCTGCGCTTGTCCTCGCTACTCACCCGTTCCTTTGTCCGTTGGTTCCTGTGTCTGTCATTCGAGAAGTGCTTACTGAAGACCTGGCGAGACAGACCAGGTCCCTGGGGGAGAAGCACTTACTGTTTCGGGAGGGATGGGACAGCGGCCAGACTTGGCTGGCCAGGGTGGACGTGCTCTGAGAACGTGGAGGCCTGGGCTCCAGTGGATGGAAGATGCCAGAAATGGGCCACCACGCGGGGGGGTGAGGGATGGGGGGGTCTCCTCCAACGAGAACAAGGACAGACCAAGCAGTCGTGTCCTCTTCGGTTTATAGAACTTCGTTAGAAAGTGCTTTCTCGTCTTGTATCATTTTTTCTAATTTGGTGATGCAGGAATTCTTCTAGCTAAAATATTGTCTGGGACCCTGAGTCTCAGGGGACTTAAGTCATGCCCTGCTTTCTCTGGGGGATGCGCCCACCACCGTCTGTGCTGGTGGCCCCAGGCTGGGGCCCAGAGGCACCACGGGTCCCTGGATGTTAGATTTGTGCCCCACCCCGGGCACTGAGGGCTCCGTGCCAGCTTCGGGCTGGGAGCCTGGTGTTGCTGCACTCTCGCTGTCGCCCTCCAGCTGAGATGGTGCCTGCCAGCTCCCTGACCCCTGGAGATGTGCTGGGTTCCTGTTGGTGCCGAGAGCCCTGGCCCGAAGAGACAGGTGTGCTCCTGTCCCACAGAGCTCATATCCCAGCCCCGTGGTCAGGTCCGTGCGGGGCCCCTCCAGTCCCTGGGTTCTCTCGACAGGCTCATGTCCTTCTCAGGGAGTGACCAGAGTGACCACGGGAGGAGCAGGGGCCCCGGCGGTTCACTGAGAGTAACGCCCTTTTCTCCCCCGCAGGTGACAGAGGAGGTCCACCGGCTGCTGAGTCAGGGTGCGTACCGCTTCCTGTGCCGCGGCAAGGTCAGCGTCAAGGGCAAGGGCGAGATGCTGACCTACTTCTTGGAAGGCAGGACTGACGGAAACGGCTCCCAAACCAGGTCCCTGAACTCGGGGCGGAAAATGTGTCTGTATGGGAGAGCTGGCCTCCAGACCAGACTGGCCTCAGGCCGCCCCCCGCTGCCCCCCATGGCCAGCCTCCCGGTCGGAGCCGGGCTGGGGGCTCTGCAGGGCTCGGGACTCGCCCCCCAGCTCCCTGGCCCGCGCCTGGCCCCCGGAGCTGCTGGGAAGGAGGCTTAGTGGAGCCCATGCTGGCCGCTGGGGGCTCAGGGCAGAATTCTCGAGGCCTTGGTCACTGCAGCAGGACCAGCCCGACCAGCAGAGCAGGGCTGGGGAAGGGGTGCTGTCCAGGCAGGACCTGAAGCAGTTGGGCAGTGACTCGGGGAGGGGGAACCCTGTCTGCATGGACACGAAGCTTTTCACACCACCCTGTCCTCGGTGGCTGGGCGAGCAGGCTGCCCGGGCGGCCAGGCCAGCCTCAGGTGTCGGGACCTTTAGAACCCCCGCCAGGGCTGCCTGGCTGCTCTCGCGTGGGCCCTGAGATGGAGCCCAGTCAGCCGAGCATGGCGGGTCCCACGTGGGCAGCTCCAGCCCTGGACAGCAGCCAGCTGGAGCCTGGAGTGGGAGTCAGGCCTCTCTCAGCAGAGCCATGAGGGCTGGGACCGGGCCCAGAGCTGGCCAGGCCTAAGACAGTTTGGGGACAACTGAGCTGCCCCAGTCCCGCTGCGTGGACGGTGGAGGCTGCGGGCTTTTCTCCAAAGCTGCTTTTTGCTAAGAGCCAGAGGCAGGTCTTCTGGAATTTTCGGGGCTCTGCAGCCACAGTCTGCATTGTGACTGGCACCGGCGGTCACCCCACCTGAGGGCGTCGGCTCCTGGAAGCCCGGGACCCCTCCTCTGCTGTCCCTGGGCTGGCTGGTCTGTCAATGCAGCTCTGACTTCCGTGTGGCATGTTGAGCTCCTGTGCGTTGAAGGACAGTGCAAGGCTTGGTTGATTTTGACAACAGGTGACCCTCAGCCATGAGAAGTGCTGTGTCTGGTGGAAGCAGCCCGGGATGTGGCGTTCTGGAGTTCGTTTACGGCCCCCGCCCGGTGCATCTCCACCATCGCATGGAGGTGCAGACAGAGGACAAGCCGGGTGTGCTGCTGGGGACAGGGGTCCGGGAGGTCCAGGGGGAGGGGACATGCACGGACACCTCAGCTCAGCACAGGGAGGAAGACAGCTGGATCTGGTGGGCAAGTCAGCGCAGACGGCTGTCCACAGACCCGTGGCTCCGGCAGCCAGGAGGGCTCTGTGGGCTGCAGCTGAGCCCTGCTCGGCCGAAGGAACCTGGGGGTCCCAGGTGCACGTAGGAACGGGCTCGCTCTGGGCTGAGCCCTGTGGGATGGCTGGTGCTGTCCCGGAGTCCCCACCGAGGGCGTGAGATGTGGCGTCCTACTTGGGGAGGGCTGACCCCCCCAGCTGTGTTGCCGATGCGGGACGTGGGACGGAGACGGGGGTGTCGGCCCTTCTGCACTGAGCTTCGTGGCGCCTCCGCTGAGGACCGGCTCTGGCCATTGCTCTGTTGAGAAGCAGGTGGAAACCCCCTCCCCCACCCCAGACACACAGCATGGCTCCTCCCGGGAAGCCGAGAGAGCGTGTGGCCTGCTGCCCACGGGTCCCGGCCCAGCTCGCACCAGGGCGGAGCAGGGGGGTGGGCAGTAACGGGGCGCTGAGCTGTGAGTGTGCTGTCACGTGACAAAGGGTGCTTTGCAAAGGGGTCCACGGGCGCAGCTGCAAGCTGGGGAGACGCCCCCGCTACCCGGAGGGCTCGGTGTGACCACGTGTCCCCTTACAAGTGGAGGAGGGAGACAGCGCAGTCAGGACGATCCAAAGATGAGGGCCTGCTGCCAGTAGCAGGTGAGGGTGTCACAGCCGCCCGCCAGCAGGAGCAGTCGTCACCCCACAACCACAGGTGCTGAACTCAGCATCAGCCCCAGTGAGTGGAGGCAGGGGGACCCGGGTGACAGCCCTGCCGGCAACACCAGGCGTCACCTTGCAGGGCTGGGCCTCGGGTCACAGAGCTGCTGTGCGAGTCCTGGACACGCGGCCCCCCAGTGGTGGGCGTCCCCCGGTCCCCCCACCCCCACCCCTCCGGTGCCTCAGCACCAGCGTCAGCAGTTCCCAATCCTCCTGCTTCCTGTGGCGTGGCCGTTGGCCATGGGTCCTGGGGTTTGGTGCACAGCACTTGCTTTTTATTTGTGGTCAGACTTGTTGTACGGCCTTATTTTTTCCTCTCACACAATATTCACGCCCAGACGTTGGCGCCTTTGAGCAGGGTCCTCTAAGCGATTGACTAGGAAGCTCTGTAAACACCGCGCCAGTCCCACCCAAAGGAGAGAAGGCGGACCGGTGGCTGGTGCACTTCAGCCCGATGCGCCTGCTCCCCCTGCGTGCGCCCCACAGGGTGACACCCAGCCCGTGGCAGTGACCCGTGTGCCCCCGCATGACCCCTGTGCGCCTGTGCCCGACCTCAGTAGCGTAGAACACAGCCCTGGACTTCCAGGCACCCCGACCCCGGGCCGGTCCTCTCCATGGTGCCGGGGGCCTGCAGGGTGACGCCCCCCTTCACACAGCCACCCAGAGCCTGCTCTGTTCATCAGGCTCGAAAGCCACCAGGGCTTCCGGACACTTGGTGTCACTAGAAGCAATAAGTAACTTTATCTAAACTGTAGAGACAAGTCTGGTCCAAAGCTGGCTCAGAGACGGGCCCCGGGACGAGTCTGCCTGAATCGATGGCGTTGCGGGGCTGACCCCATGGCCCCCAGCCCTTCCTGCAGATCCAGCTTGGCAGCTCACTCTGGGGGTTCACTGTTGGCACCCCAGGCTCGGGAAGCAGAGGGCCTGTCTTAGCACTTGCCAGGTTGTCCTTGGGTGAGGAAGGCGGGAGGCGGGCACCCCAGGTCTGCATGTCCATGACTTGTCCCCATGTCTCAGGTCGTCCAGAGGGCATGGCACAGCCATGGGTCTGTCCCTCGGGCCAGGAGCCCGTCTCCCATGGTACACAGGCTGCTGCGGGGCTCTGGGCACGGAGGGGATCCCGTCAGCCTTCAGACACCACGTGTGGGCACCTGGTAGTCCCAGCGGCCACCTGGAGGTAGCGCTGAGCCCTGTTTTTACTGCTGCCCCAGAAGGAAGGGCTGAGCTGGCCGGTCAGCCCCGTCTTTAGGTTTTCTGCCAGGCAGTGGACCTGTCTCCATTCCAGCGTGCACCCCCTAGTGCATGGTGTATCCCCGTGGTCCCAGGTCGGGTCCTTCGGTCTCTGCCCTGTGGCAGTTCCTCCCAGGACACAGGTGCTCAGCCTGTAAAGCCAGTGCTGAGTGTGCACACAGGCGCCTGCACCAGGCACCGAGCAGCCCTGGGACAGGCTGGCTGAGCTGCTGTTGGTACTTTTGGTCCTGACACCGTGCAGAGCTGTAGGCTTTCCATGCAGCGATGCCCTGGACCTCCCCCCGCCCCCCTGCCTTTTGTAATGGTTTCAATTAAAAAAAACAACAACTAAAAGAACAGAGAACATCAGCCTTCTGAGAGGCAGTTGGTTTTAAAATATTGCTTTGGTGAGGCAAGCGAGGAGCAAGCCGTGCAGGTAGGAAGTTGGGGTACGCACACCCCTCAGCCCGCTGTGGATGTTCCCGCAGCGAGCCTGAGCCTGCAGTTCCTGGTTTCCATCTAAAACTTTGGGCCCCACAGCAAGTGACGATGACTGAAGATTCCTGCTACGGTCCCTGGGGCCTCAGCTGGGGTGGGTTTAGGTCAGAGGCAGGACTTGCTGGGGGCTGCGGTGTGAGGCCCAGAGGTCAGCAGGCAGGACCCGGAGCCCCACACGGCTGGTCCTGGTGTCTGTCAGGCCATCGTGGTGACTCAGGCCTCCAGAGTGAGTTTGGGGGTCAACAAGGAGGTAGATGTCACCCGAGGACCTCCGACACCACCGTACCTGTGCTCATGTGACACAGGCTGTGAGGAGAGGCTGTGGCCCGGTGTCCAGGGCTGGCAAAGTGGGCAGTGGGGGGATTTGGGTCACCGCAACCTCCATGGGCCGGCCCTCCACCACACCCAACAAGTTGCACCTGAGTCGGGTGGGCTGGGGCCAGTGTCCCAGCCAAGAGCATGAGTGCAGGGGGACACAGCCAGGCCTGAGGCTGAGGGGCCTGAGGACCGCCCACCTGGAGGGCAGAGTGGGCACAGAAATGCAGGCGGGGCCTCTCCTCGACCTTGACCTCATGCTGGGGGACAGAACGGCTCGTCCTCTTGGCTGAACCCTGTCTGTCCTTCAACAACTGATCCTGCAGGATGTAAAATGTTTGACCTAGAAAGTCCCTACCGAGTCCGGTCCCACTTTCTGTCGTGACCCATATCCCACGGTAGAACCTGTCACCTAAGAAAACATAGACTCCCCTTCGGCGAGGAAGGCAGCTGCCCCATCTCTCTGTGAGGCCCCTCTGACATCAGACATGGGAGAACGGGGGCCCCCAAAACACATGTGTTTCAACACTTACCCGGGCCCAACCCAGCTCCCAACTCCTGGTCAGAGCCACCCACTGTCAATGTCATTGTCACCCTGCTGGCCTGGTGTAGGCGGTCAGTGTCCCTTCCTGGGGATTAGCAGACAGCTGAGAGCAGGTTCACTGGGGATCAGGGTGGTTGGTGGGAAACTGGCTGTCCTGGCCTTCCCAGGGCCCTGAGTCCCTGGTACCGGCAGCTCAGACTTCAGGTGGGTTGGTTTCCAAAACATTCACTTACTGAGAATTGAGGTTTAAACGGTGAAGGTTTCCTAGAGTAACCCCCAGGAGATCTGTCCAACCTCTTGGGCTTATGACACGTGTATGGGCAGTCGGCAGGACGTCCCTCGTAGCCGTGCCCAGGCCCTCACTCCCACGTGTGCACTGGGCTCTGGGCACACCGGCAGCCAGAACTTGTTACTAGCCTCCCACCAGCAACCCCCACACAGCCTCGGGCCTCGGGCTCTGGGCATGAAGCACACGTCTTGGGACCATCCCTTGTCCTGGGAACCCCGAGGAACCCCGCCACCTCTGCACACACGGGGAGAGCCGCACCCCCAGCAGGCGCTCTGCAGAGCTGAGCCGTGTGGCCCCTCCCTGTAAAAACTGCGACACACAAGCCATTCACTCTCAGAGTCGCATGCCATGAAGTCCCTAATTGTGTGAAACTTAGTTTGAAGTTGAAGACACGCAGCATGCACAGCCGAGGGACAGCCCGCCTTGGGTCATCTGCTGGCTGGCCGCAGAGCGTCCCCGGCACGGTGGGTCTTGCAGCCTGAGCCCGAGCGGTTCCTGCACACGCCCGCCCGCCCCGGTGAGTGCGCACCACCTTGCACAAGCGAGCACAGCGGAATGTAGCCTCTTAGCAGCACATCCCATTCTCATTTAGGAAAACCCACGTCCACTCGTGGATTGTCTGTCCTCGATGAGAAAGGTGTGGAGAGGCCGCAGCCCTCTGTGTGGGCTGGTAGGGCTGTCCCTCCACGGGGCGCAGGGGGTGGCACGCGGGACACGGCTCCCATCAGGAGAGCCCCCCGAGCATGCTTCTTCAGACGCGAACAGAGATGACTATCGGAATGACAATTTCACCGGTAACTTCTCATGATAGATTTGTATGATCAATACGGGTCTATTTTTATGTCAACTGGACACTGTAGAGTACCTTCCAGTCTTTTCCAAGATTGTTAAATTGAGACAAGTAATTGAATAATTTGTCCTATTTTTATTTTAAAAAAGTGAATGGGCTGAAATGTTAAATGTGAATGTACATTTCTTAATTGCAACTTTTCTACTGAGTGTTTGCACTATACTTTCTGGAACCTTATTTAACAAAAGTAAAGGAAAAAAAATTGCTTGACTAAACTCTGCTGTTTTAATTGAAAAGCACATGCTTGTGTGGCTGTTTTAAGGACACTCCTGCCTGTCTCCCTGTCCTGCAGGGTAGACTTTCTGTGATTCCCTAAAATGTCACCTGATCCTTCCTCGGGCCCTGGTGGGACTCTGCCCTCCTGTGATGAGAAAGGCCACCATGTTACAGGTGGCGCTGTGCTGACACACTGGGGCCCTCGAGTTTTGTTCCTAAACAAGAGATTCTGAGGGAGGGTGGTTTGTACTATTTGCCCCACGACTAGTCTCCCTCTGACAACAAGTTCTCCTGCTAGTTTAACCTTTTATAAAATAGGAAAAAAAAACTTGCTGCCCCCATAATCAAAGCTGGGGTTCACTCCCTATTGATGTGCCATGCGCCCCCGCAGACTTAGTGGGTGGAGGGGTCCTGGGGCCGCGCTGTCTGTGGGGATGGGAGCCAGCCACGCTGCCACTCCAGGCACCACTGGGGACACGTGTCGAGAACGTGAAGGAAGACTTCCTCCGAGGCTGTTCCCAACACGGCAACCACGGCTGGTTTGTCAGCCCCGGGCAGAGCGAGGGGCCCGTGGATGCACAGTTACTGAGAGGGCCTTGGCCTTCACAGTGGGGGATGAGGAGCTCCATCAGATAGTGGGGTGGGGGGCCCCCTCAGCAGGTTTAGCAGGGTTGTTGGCTAAAACTGGGCTCTGCAGGCCAAGGTCAGGCCTAGAAGAGAAGGGGCCCCATGGAGCCTGAACAGAGGGGTCAGGGAGGGTTTGCCACCGGCCCTGGTGACCAGGACACACTTACTACTACCCTGGGGGAAGCCTGTCCTACACCTGTCCCGCCCCCCGGAAAGGGTGCGGCTCTCCCGGGAGCAGCAGTTTGGCCGGGGCTGCCCTCCCCACTCCCGCAGGCCAGGAGCCTTGCCTGCCCTCTACCACGTCCTGCTGTGTCCACACAGTCTGAGTCTGTTTCGGGGTGCCATTTGGGGGTGCCCTGCTTCAGGCCTGGATGAGGGGCCATGGAGGCAGCACAGGAAGGGACTGGAAACATAAGCATTCTTTGTTTTTGTAGAAGGAACGAAAAGCAGACCATTTTAGATAAAGTGGGGATGGAACTTTTATAAGTGGCTCCGAGTGTGTCAGCACACGCGTCCTCAGGAAGGCCGTCGGGGTGCCGGCCCGGGTGCAGGGCGCCGGGTTCTATGTAACCAAAGTGCCCTGGGCGCCGGGTTCTTTTTCCTCAGCATGAGGTTCATCAGACCTGCGTCCCTTTGGTGGGACCTCCTCTCAGTGCTGGCGAGGAACGGGGAAGGAGGTTAAATTCCTCTGCCCCCAACTAAAGAAACAAAACCAGTGCCCACAGATTCCAGAGGCCCCCCAGGGGAGACCCCGGTTCCAGCCTTTCCTGGGGTGGCGTTCAGAGCCCACAAGTGGGATGCCCGAGCCCTGGCCAGGCCGGTGGGTGACTGAGCTCCAGGTCTTTCTCTGCCAAACACCATCGCAGCACCTGAGGCTCGCCCAGACGGCTGGGAGCAGGGGTGTGTGGGGCTGCAGCACTGTGTCTGGGCGCCCACCTCACCTGAGGGCCATGCTTGGATCTGGGCACAGATCTCTGTTAACCAGCCCCCCCGACCTGACCTGACAGGTATGACACAGCGAGGGGGCGCCAGTGAAGGGGACCTGGGGCTCACAGACAAGCGGATGAACAGCTGGCCTAGTGAGTCAGGCCGAGGGGTCTCCGAGCACACCTGTGTCTCTCACGCGTCCTGCACGGTAAGCTCATGCTGGGTGGCCTCTTCAATGCTCTGAAGCTGGCGGGCCTCCCACTGCCTTACTCGCTCCATCTGCGGGAGGAACAGGCCCTCTGAGCACACTTGGCGGGGTCACCAGCCACGCAGGATAAGCGATGCCCATCCTGGGCTGCAGACCCCACCCTGGTCAGCCCTTGGGCACCATCTGGGCCGTGAGCCAGAGTGGCCTGGCCAGCCTGCACCGGCCCCCTGCACTGTGACCCCATGACAGAGCCAGCAACCACCCGAGGGCTGAGGCTTGCTGTGGGGACAGGTGAGGTCAGGGCCCGAGGAACTGGTTCTGACCAGGGCACAGGAGGTCACTAGGGAGGGGACAGGGACAAGGAGGGGCCAGCCAGCACAGGAGCCTTCTGGAATAGGAGGTCATCAGGAGGCTGAGGGCTGGGAAGCTGAGCTCATAGCAGCAAAGGGGCCTGGGGACCCGCCTGCGGGCACACCACGACCACTGGGGCCCTCTGGGGCGAGCCAGAGCAGGGGGAGGCTGCAGGGGTTTTAGGGGACGTAAGGAGAGTAAGCGGCTTTCTGGGACTCCCAGCTGTCCTGCCTCCTCTCGGGAACATGGGCCGGTCTACAGTGCACCCAGGAGTTTAGGGACAATGGATATGGGGGCACAGGTTTTAATGGCACAAGCAAAGGCACTCCACCTGGGAGCACGAGGACCCGAGAGGGGCCGGCCACCAGCCTCCTCCGGCCTGTCACCTCACCATGCCCTCGGTGATGGGAGGGCTGAGACTTGCTCCCAGCTGTCACAGGCCACCTCCCGGGGCGGGCGCCTACCACAGCGGCCAGGTCCTTGCGTTTCCGAGGCCTCCGTCCGGCTGTGTTCTGGATCCCAGGCAGCCCCCTGCTTCCTGGCCAGCTCCCTGGGGACGCTTCCTGCCGCTGCTGCTGTCGCCAGGTGGCCGAGACCGGCACAGGTGGCCCCTCCTCAGGAGCCTGGGGGTCCGAGTCAGGCCCCAGCTGCCCACTGGACTCCTCAGAGGCCCAGATAGTAGAAAGCCGCCTCTTTCTGAGGGATGATGACAGGACCCGGGAAGAGCGCGAAGGCAGCGGGGACCCCTCAGCAGGGCCCCCACCCCAGCGGTGAGGGACATGGCCCAGCGGTCTCCTGCGCCAGGGAAGGGGGCCTTCCTTCGGGGTGCTGTGCTTTGGGACCGGCCCTGAAGATGGCCATCGTGGCACTGACGGGGGGCCCTCATCCTCAGAGGAGCTGAAGCTGGGGACCTGTCAGGAGAGCACAGAGGTGGCTTCCAGCGGAGCCCAGTGGGCACTGAGCCCAGCGGGCACTCTCCTCCTGGTGCAACCGCCGCGAGGCCCCGAGGGGGGCAGGCAGCACCCAGAGCAGGCCCAGCGCAGGACGGCACACTGACGCGAGGCCTGCCTTTTCATTACTTTCATCTTTTTTGGGGGGTCAAAACTTTAAGCATTAGTCAAAAATGTGTTGTCAGGGATAGGATTGGAAAATGACGGCTTTCAGGTAAAAAATTTTCTTTTTTTTCCAGGGAAAAAGGTGTAAAGTGTTGTCAATGAAATCATCTTAACATTTAAACTCAACATAAAAAAGGAAAACCGTTGAAAACACTGTAGGTTTTGGGACATAAGTCACGTTAGGCAGGTTGAATGTCTTCCAGACATGGCACCTGCTCTCTCTGGTGTGGCATGGAGGTGGGCGTATGTGGGACCCACCCCAGAAGTCACACACGCTCACTCACACACGAGGGAACACAGGTGTGTTTTCTCCCTAACAGGGCCTGCTGTTTACTAACCTATAAATGGAGAGAACTAAGAACCAATAGTGACATGTGGGTGATTTGATAAGTTCTTTGATGAAATAATATTGTAACATATTGTAAAACAATTTACTGTTGTTTTACAAATATAGACTCAGAACAGATGATCCAGACAGACACTGGGGGTGTCACAGGGAAAGGGGGGATTTCCCGCGAGCGGGGACAGCGTTCTCTCTCCCGCTTCCCTTTGGTCGGCCTGGTTGCTCCTTGGGAAAAACCGCAGAGCAACAGTAAAGCCACAGCCCCACCGCTGCCTCACCTTAAAATGAGTTACAAGGGGTTGAATATTATACTCTTTGAAAATTCATAGATTACTCGGAAAAAAGAATTTAAAAATCTTATCACATCACTCACCAAGATAAACTGCAGAGGCATATAATAAGGTTTACATGTAAAAAAATGAAAGCACGTAAGTCCGGGGGGGAAATATTGGTGATTCCCCGGCAGACGTGTCAGGAGGCTTTCTAAGGACAACGCACAGCACAGAAGCCACAGAACAAACGAAAAAGCTAAGCTAAATATAATTTAAAAAACAAACAAACTTCTGCAGAGCAAAAAAGATGATACACTAAGTGAGAAGCACAAACCACCGTTCCTACAAAGATAAAAGGGCTGCTCTTCCGGACGCCTCGGAGAAGTGAGCTAAGGGGTGAGCGTGCTGCGAGGGCCTTTACCGGTGTTCATCTAGAAACTTAAAAACATACACCGGGAAGGGGCTCCATGTTGTGAGCGGAGCAAAAATATGAATCTAAAGAAATTCTAGAAGAAGCTAGAAAGGATGTTTTCTTATGGTGGGGGCTGGGCCGATGGCGACGGGGGTCACCGTATGCCTGTTTATTACCTATTTTCGAAAGAAAAAACAAGCCCTGCCTGTCTGACAGGAGGCACAGGAAGTCGCAGCCCGTTGGGGGGTGGCGCAGGGGTCCCCACCCCGCGGCGCCTCTGCGCCCCGCGCGGGGAATGCGGTCAGGTTTTCAGCACTCCCTGCGACCGTTACCTAAGTCTGCGCCCGCCTCTCGTTTCGAACCCGGAGCCCCGCTCCCCGAGGCCTCCCGGCTTTCCTGGGACAAAGGGGGAGGGGACAGGGGGCTGCGCCCCTGGGGGGTGTCCCCC